AGAGAGAGCTACATTTGGGTTATGCTGTTGGTGTTGCCCTGTTGGGCATGGACATTGACTCACGATTCTTCTGTATCATTCTCAATGGGATGGTTGCTCGGTTCCATGTGCTATCTGCTTTGGCCTTGCAGTAGCAGTATTACAACATATACCCACTCACACATCCTTCCATCTAGACGAAGGATCCCTGTTTATTTCAAAAAAGAGAAAAAAACAATTGAAGGGATTCCTGCACCTTCGCAGTACGGCCCCGGTAGCATGTCCCATTTTCTTCGTACCATAGAGACTCAGTAGCACTTTCAGGGTGAAACAGTACAGGCCAAAATAGATATCCGATAGGATAGGACCGGTAGGAACAGTGGAAGTTCCAAGTAGCCAGTAGGTAGGGAGTCGCCACGTGTGCAGTCCCAGTCAAGTCGCAGCTCAGTCCGACGAACGGGCCCATGACAGGCCAAATCTCTGTCGCCTGGGGCAGGGCCTGGCAGGAGAGTGCCAGGAGTCACGTGGGAGGTGCATGCAGGAGAGTGCCAGGAACCTCCTCTAATTTGATTCTTGCTTATGCGGGAATGCTGCTGCATTACTGCAATTGACCGGGGGCCTTGGAAGTGTGAACAGTGCCTGGCAAGACAGATTCCTTCATTAAGTGAACTAGTTGACGGCCCAGGGCGCCATAGCTATGGTAGAGCCCAGTGAGAGAGAGGAAGAGCAGTGAGGAGAGAGATTGCAGGAGCGGGGGAGAGAGAGAGAGAGAGAGAGAGAGAGAGAGAGAGAGAGAGAGAGAGAGAGAGAGAGAGAGAGAGAGAGAGAGAGAGAGAGAAAGAGTTACCTGCTTGCCGTTGTTGTTGTTGGGAAGCCATAGCCGTAAGCCCCCAAACATGTGCATATCATTTCAAGTTGTAAATAATTTCTGAGTGTGCTCATGCGGCATGAATCTTGCTCGCGTGGTGTGGATCTTGAGTGTGATGCATGCACAAAGATTGAAGGAAAAAAGGCTGGAGAGCAACTTCTTGGACCGGGGCAAGCCGGACCTTTCCATGTATATTTTGCCATAGGACGCTGAGCCCACTTCTAGCTGGAGTCATTCCCCACAAAAAAAAATTGAGGCTTTTGAGCCATCACAGTCCTGGGGGTGCTCTTATCACCCCCGAAATAGTCGTTTTCCATTTGATATTTTCCCACGAAAAAAGAAGAAAAAGAAACACCTTTCCCAGGGGCAGGCCGCACTGGTGCTATCTTTGTGCTAGGAAAACCTGAACCTAGGAAGTTTTCTGGATTGCATTTGTGCTGTCCAAGCACAACATAGCACTTGTTGAGCCTGCCCCTCACAGGCATACAGACAAGTCTTTTCAAGTGAAAGAGGGGGAAGAAGGGTGGAAAGAAGCCCACCTTTCTCTAGATCAGAGCATTCAGAAGCCTTTTTCTCCAGAACCCTCTCCCTCTCTCTGAGTGCTTCCTCTGCTTGACTAATTTCTCTTTTCTTGCTATCCAATTTCATGTGTTTCTCAAGGATCTCGTTCTCCATATCTTGCACATTTCTCTCCTTCATGGATATCTTCTCTTGACGTAGAAGAAGTGAAGCTTCATCTCTCTGCAACCTCTGCTCACGGTCAGCAAGTTCCTTCTCATGGGCTTCAGCGCCTTTCTCTGCCATGTCTGCTGCATGCAACCGCTCCTGAGCATCCATATCAGCAGCACTTACTGCATTTCTCAGCTCTTCAAATTGTCGGTCCATCTCCTCCTTTTTCTTATCCAGGTGCTCCTGCCGTTGTTGAATTCTCAGTTCAACAGACTTCCATAGATTCGCAGAAAAGAATTCAACACATCATGGATGACATCCAGGCACAATTGTGTAAATGACATAATATCACCCAAAAAGAAAGTGTGCAAGTAATGCCTGATAGGCCAATGACAAGAGTATCATCCCATTGGTGTTCGTCTTTTCCTTTTTTCTTCAAAGAGGTTCTTGGACGTCATCTTCCAAGTTCCAATATAGTTATCAGATTTGCGACCCATTATCTTTGTTTCTTTTTCTCCAGACTCAAAATCAGTTCACATAAACAAACTATCATCCCTGAACCTATCTTTCCTGATGCTTCATTTACCCTGGACTACCGAACAATGTAGGATCCGGCCTGTAGCAGCAATAGGAGTCACATTTGCACCACAATTCTTTGAGAGACAAAAGCGTTTCTTTTCCAAATTTATGTTCCTAACTTCCTATTATTTTTCCCTTACACAGTGGCACTGATTGCTTTTTCTTTCTTTCTTTTTTCTTTTTCAGGAAAGTTGAAACAGTCCCTTATGGTCCTGGCTCCATGCCCATTTTGGGGAGCATCAGTCTGTCAGTCTGGTTATATTTCTAATGGCAAGGTTGTTTATTAATCCAAATTTAGATAGATCAATTGCTCAATTTGCAGAGATTTTACACAGTGAAAGTCTTATTTTCTTATGTCTTTTTCTTATCTACTGAAGAGAGACATTTAAGGACAACCTCATGCTTCCTTCCATCAAAGGCCTAAGGATCCCTGAGCAGTATTGAT